CAGAAGTCCAGAATAACAGAAAAAGCAAACCAGGTTGAGGAGGTGTGACAAAGTGAAGCCAGATGTAACTAATTCGGACAAATGACCTTTAGACCTTGAGATTGATCATGCATTTACTGATGCTGAAATGGAGAAGACACATACCGATACCTGAGGTATTATGTCAGTCTTTTGTTTTGTCCATAATTCATGACAAGTCAGTGATGTGGTGCTCATAGAAAATATCATATATCAATAGAGTTGTCAGGGGTGAAAAGGAAATACAGATCTAGATATGGAGATAAAAAGAAAGACACTGAGGCTTTGTACCTCTGTGCACACTAGCACACAAGTGAGACTGCAACAGAATGTATAAATCATTGTTATTTGTTCTCTCCCAATCTCCCAGCAGACAAGTGATTACAGCACAATAAAAGCAAAGAAAAAAAGGTGTCCTCACCCTGTTGTTTCATGAATGTACAGGACAAGAAATGGTTATTGGTCCAGTGAACTGGAAACTTAATAACCATAAATTGTGTGCTACCAATGCCAAATAAAATATGTACACATGGAAGAGTACCACATGATAATTTATCATATATCAAAAAGCAATAAATCCGCTTAAATAATTAATGATGTATTGGTCTCTGACCGGTCTACCATTGATGTTATCAGGAAATATTGCAGCATTGTCACAATCCATGCAAAGGGAGTAAGTAGAAAAGGCTGACGGGGGCATAAACCTGTCTCCAGCAACATGCCAGAGAATTCACCTGAGAACCTGTAATCTGTAATTCATGTTACCGGCAATTTGGTATAATACTTTTTTCATGTAGCACATTCTTCTGTGGCCAAGGAAGGTAATTAAGATGTGATGATTAAAATCCTTTGAATGCCAAATTCACCTCACTCATGGTGCGGCAAATAGCGACTTTGCTTAGTGGCTTTACTTAACTGAAGGGAACATGTTGGCCATATAGGACAAAATTCATACATAAGAACATGGAATAATTGTTAAAAAAAACTACTTGGTTTCTGTTACTAAACAGATAAGGCACCCGGATTAATCAAGTCTGGTTGCCATGGAATAAATCTCCATGATAATTCCAGCTTCCTTCTGTTCCTGTTTGCCCTTGTCTGTTTATCTGTCTGCTGGAGAGGGAGTGGCTTCCCTTCCTCTTTCTTTCTCCTGGACCACCTCATCTTGCCTGATCTTCATCCCATCATCCTGCCCAGCTGACTTAAGCTACCAGGTAGGTTTATTTGTCACATTACAACAGGTTGTAAATGGATATTGTGTTTTTAACTACCTTCTGCTACGTAGCAGACAATTTCCAATAATACAAAAGCAATCATAAAAACGGTAAACGGACATAAACTATATTCAGCAGTGCAGTGCTGAGGATGAATTTGAGTTTAAGAGTCTGATAGCTTGGGGGAAAAGCTGCTCTGCAGTCTGGTGGTGCAGCAGCAGAAACTTCTATATCTCTTCCCAGAAAGCAGCAGGGTGAACAGGCTGTGGCTGGGGTGGGTACTGTCCTTTAGTATCTATCGGGCTCTGCGTAGGCACCTCACCTCACTGATATCACTAATGCTCAGGAGATGGGTACCAATGATCTTCTGAACAGTTTTAATCACCCGCTGCAGAGCCCTCCTCACCTACCTTTGATCGTTCCACCTACCTACAGTATACACCGATCAGCCAAAAAATTATGACCACCTATTGGTCATAATTTAGGTCTCCTTTTTGTTGCCAAAACAGCCCTGATCCGTCAAGGCGTGGACTCCACTGTGTGTTCCATCCAAACCAGCATTAACTTTAATTAACAATTTGACCTAGCTTGTCAGTTGGATCGGACCACACGGACCAGCCCCCATGACCATGTTGCCGGTTCACTGTTTTTTCTTCCTTGGCCAACTTTTGATAGGTACTGACCACTGCAGACCATTATGGAGATGCTCTCAACCAGTCATCTAGCCATCACAACTTGGCCCTTGTCAAAGTTACTCAAATCCTTGACCTTGACTATTTTTCCTGCTTCTAACATATCAACTATGAGGACACAATGTTCACTTGCTGCCTTATATTCCACCCACTGACAGGTGCCATGATAATGAGATAACCAGTGTCATTCATTTCCTCTGTCAGTGGACATAATGTTATGGCTGATCGGTGTATCAACCCTGCCTCTTCATTCATTCATCACCATATTGTTGTTGAACCTATGCTTTAGTAGGCCTACTCTCCAGGTGAAGTCTCTAGCTCTATGTCGTTTCTGCTCATTCCAGTGTTTTTGTGTCTTGTGCCCCTGTTCCTGTTCGCTTCTTGCCAGTTACGCTTACCTCCATTTGCCTGTGCCACGCCATTACCCTTACGCTATTACCTCCCAACTCCCAGCCAGCCACGGATCGGATAACCTGGCTTACTCCCCATCATCATTCACCTGTTCACACTAAAGACTTTTATTATTAATCAAAACCCTGTCTGAGTCCTTCATTTGGGTCCTGCCTGCAAAAACATGTGTCCCAATGCCCTCTGCATCACAGAATTCTCAAACACCAAATTTACACCAGGCATTAAAATGTGGTAGTAGTTATCTCGATAATAAACGATACCTTTCCTTTGTGTTTACACCTGGTATTTTAATGCATTCTTGAAATCCACAGATTAGATCTCTGTCATCCAGAGCAAAACCTGCATGTGAGTAATTTGGGGTATGGGCAAATCCGCCCCTGACTCCCTTTAAAAAATAACAGAGTTTTGTGACTTATTGAGTTAGGGGAAACTTAATCTGTTTTTTTGTTGCATTGGCTGGAGTAAGGGACCAGAGGGCCAAAGTTTTAGAGTCACTGTTAAATGTAATGGTTGGAAAAGATCAGCCATTGCTTTGTATTTTCTCCAGTACTAGCCACCTCTGGTGTGAATATAATAAAATATGGTTATTTATGGCTATATATGGTCACTGTGGAGGGCTCAAAGAAAAATATTTATAGCTCTGGGGTTACACCCCAGCTTAGAGGGATGGCGTCTTGTATGTCAATGAAGAACTTGACATTTATTTTGAAAATAAGCAAATTCACGCAAATACTAGCAGATAATTGATGCGATGCTGTTGAATCTTGCTACACGCTCCAGCACACAGTCAGCTTCTCTTCCAGTTAGGATGAATGTTTCAGTGCAAAAACAAGCGCTAATAAAACCAATCTAATTGCAAGTAATGTGGACAGAGTGCAGAAAGATGCACAGTATTATAGAAAAGATCACATGGCAAGAAAAAAATAAGATTAGTGGCATATTGTAGCACCAACAAAGTCCTGAGTGGATGAGAGTTTTTGAAATATGCAAACATCTACAAATATTTATACTTTTTTTTCTCATCATTGTAGATAGTGCCCTCTCTGTGTTGTTCTCAGTGGAATCTGTGCTTTAGTCCAGTCTAAAATATATCTGTGAGACCGGCGACTTTGCAGTTGGTGTTGCAGAGATATTCACTAAAATGTTGGATTACGACCTTGGCAAAGGCCACTGCCCCGGAGGAACCAAACCTCCAGTGCCCCCAAAGTTCCAGGTTTGCTGTTTGATTTATTGCATATTTGCTTGAGAATGTGCACTAAAGCAGAATATAAACTGAAAATATAAGAGCTTTAAGAAGGCTCATGGATTTTCACCCAATCATGGGGCCCCAATGGACCTTGTCTGAAAATCTCATTCAAGCTGATATCGTGCTGACATGCAACATATTTCTGAATAAATTTAATGAAATTACCGCAATTTAAAAACAGCAATATTGGGCTAGGATTACTTGGCCGTTTCTTGGGCTCAAAAAAAAATATAATAACTCTGTATATTTTGCATGCATAATGCAGAGAGTGTAGAAGGATCAAGGGGTTCAACTGCTCATATTCTTCCCCGAGGCCTCCCACTGGGTTATTCCAAACGTGGAAACTGGGTTCAACATCCCCATAACCAAAATCATCTGTGTCAGTACCACAGTGGGTGCACTTATCACCATTACTGTTGAAGCCTTCGGTGATGTGGATGTCTTTGTAGACTTGGGAAGCCCCAAGTTTGTTCTTGTTGTTGCATTAAGATGCACTCAAAGCTTGGCGAGCTGACAGAAGTGAATCTCTCACGGGGTGTATAGAATTTGCTGCAAAATCTGCAGTTAATCTGTTAAAACGATGGGACAATGTGGAGGAATATGTAAGGGGGCTTGTTCAGGGATTTTGTTCAGTTGTTTACAAATCTTGGGATTCTGACACTTTTGTACCCCCACTGACTTGTTACTCTATTTATGGACAACTAAATCTAAGTTATTCATATCTTTTAATGCTTTCAGGGGTTTATTTAGGGCAACGTCATTTTTTTTGAAGTCACAAGTCTTGGTATGAAGTCCAATCAAGTCCTAAACTTTGTGTTTCAAGTCTTAAATCCTTCCTGCGATTGGCTGCTGTTGGATTTATTTTAAGTACTGTATTGCCAATTGACAATAAAAGATGATTCTTCTTAACACTTTTGGTAACCTAATCTTTCAGACAATAGGCTCAAGTCCAAGTAAAGTTTCGAGTCATTGGTGTTTAAGACAAAGTCGAGAAGCAAGTGTTTTTTGTTGTCAAGTTTAAAGTCATCAGCTTTGTGACTCGAATCCACACATCTGTGGGTTCTATGGTTAAAGTATTTATGTTTTGTGAGGTGACCTTGAGTGTTCAGACAGGCACCCATAAATAAAAAGTGTTATTATTATTATTATTATTAAAGTAGTCTTGGATTACAATTATGATCAATTGGGATATTTTTTTTAAATGTGACTCTTTAATTATATAGCCTAGCTGAACATGTAGATTGTGCCTATATGGGAGTGATGAATGTGCAGTGTTCAGTCAGACACTGTCTGATCACCATCACCAGAGGACAATCTTGTGAGGTTCATAATCAAATATTCTTCTTAAAAACATTTGAACGAGAAATGGACACAGTCAACATCCATCCAATAGTCAACTGCTTAACCTGTGTACAGGGTCACGGGAGGGACTTGGGCCAATCCCAGCTGACATCGAGCGAAAGGCGGGTACACCCTGGACAGGTTGCTAGTCCATCGCAGGGCCACACAAAGACAAACAACCAGTCACACTCACACCTCAGGTTTATTTAGAGTCACCAATCAATGTAGCCTGTATGTCTTTGGATGGTGGGAGGAAGGAGAGAACCCACCGAAAACATGCAAACTCCACACAGTTGGCCTGAAATGACCAAGGTTCGAACCCACGACCCCATGACAGTGCTAACCACTGCACCACCGTATCACACCACACAGTCAACAATTCTGTATTACTCTGTGTTTCCTCTTAGGAAAAGAAATATATTAATGCATGAATCAGTTGCTTTTACATTAGGTCTTGTCCACCTCAAAACAACATCTGTGATATTTTTCCGCCTCCATGTATGTTTATTTTTATTCTTTCTTTTGTAGATATTGTTTGTTCCTTTACAAAAGCATGGTTAGGCATTGGGAGTTTCTTTTGTGTTTATGTTATATGTTTTCATTGTACTATACAAATTAAATGAGGTACTATCGCATTCAGGGTGGCAGTATGACTGGAGAATGGTTCTAGATGTCTGAATCGCTGCCCACGTCTGTGATTCAAATAGAATGAATGAAGTGAAACCAAAATGGCTCTTCTGATAATGTGGCTGGTATGAATGAGGTTTCACTTTAAAGAGACTGAAGCTCTGACACACACACACACACACACATCTCAGTCCTTGATTTTAAAGCTGTTATTCACATTTTGAGAGGAAAACGTCTGCTCTGCTTTTCATTCGAAATAAATCCTCTCAACCCGATTATCAAGGAGCACTGTGCCCAAGGTTTACAGACGTGCCCGTGTGGGTGACTAGAACAGAACATCAAGTTGCCAGAGTTGGTTTGCTTTGACTTTACCTTTGGAAATACGCTGCCACCTTCTGGTTATATTTGTCTTTAGCTTCAAAACTCTTGAAAGCGCATTATATACAGTGAGGAAAATAAGTATTTGAACACCCTGTTATTTTGCAAGTTCTCCCACTCAGAAATCACGGAGGGGTCTGAAATTGTCATCGTAGGTGCATGTCCACTGTGAGAGACATAATCTAAAAAAAAAATCCAGAAATCACAATGTATGATTTTTTAACCATTTATTTGTATGATACAGCTGCAAATAAGTATTTGAACACGTGTCTATCAGCTAGAATTCTGACTCTCAAAGACCTGTTAGTCTGCCTTCAAAATGTCCACCTCCACTCCACTTATTATCCTAAATTAGATGCACCTGTTTGAGGTTGTTAGCTGCATAAAGAAACCTGTCCACCCCATACAATCAGTAAGAATCCAACTACTAACATGGCCAAGACCAAAGAGCTGTCCAAAGACACTAGAGACAAAATTGTACACCTCCAACAAGGCTGGAAAGGGCTACGGGGAAATTGCCAAGCAGCTTGGTGAAAAAATGTCCACTGTTGGAGCAATCATTAGAAAATGGAAGAAGCTAAACATGACTGTCAATCTCCCTCGGACTGGGGCTCCATGCAAGATCTCACCTCGTGGGGTCTCAATGATCCTAAGAAAGGTGAGAAATCAGCCCAGAACTACACGGGAGGAGCTGGTCAATGACCTGGAAAGAGCTGGGACCACCGTTTCCAAGGTTACTGTTGGTAATACACTAAGACGTCATGGTTTGAAATCACGCATGGCACGGAAGATTCCCCTGCTTAAACCAGCACATGTCAAGGCCCGTCTTCAGTTTGCCAATGACCATTTGGATGATCCAGAGGAGTCATGGGAGAAAGTCATGTGGTCAGATGAGACCAAAATAGAACTTTTTGGTCATAGTTCCACTAACCGTGTTTGGAGGAAGAAGAATGATGAGTACCATCCCAAGAACACCATCCCTACTGTGAAGCATGGGGGTGGTAGCATCATGCTTTGGGGGTGTTTTTCTGCACATGGGACAGGGCGACTGCACTGTATTAAGGAGAGGATGACCGGGGCCATGTATTGCGAGATTTCCCTTCCCTCAGTTAGAGCATTGAAGATGGGTCGAGGCTGGGTCTTCCAACATGACAATGACCCGAAGCACACAGCCAGGATAACCAAGGAGTGGCTCTGTAAGAAGCATATCAAGGTTCTGGCGTGGCCTAGCCAGTCTCCAGAACTAAACCCAATAGAGAATCTTTGGAGGGAGCTCAAACTCCGTGTTTCTCAGCAACAGCCCAGAAACCTGACTGATCTAGAGAAGATCTTTGTGGAGGAGTGGGCCAAAATCCCTCCTGCAGTGTGTGCAAACCTGGTGAAAAACTACAGGAAACGTTTGACCTCTGTAATTGCAAACAAAGGCTACTGTACCAAATATTAACATTGATTTTCTCAGGTGTTCAAATACTTATTTGCAGCTGTATCATACAAATAAATAGTTAAAAAATCATACATTGTGATTTCTGGATTTTTCTTTTTAGATTATGTCTCTCACAGTGGACATGTACCTACGATGACAATTTCAGACCCCTCTATGATTTCTAAGTGGGAGAACTTGCAAAATAGCAGGGTGTTCAAATACTTATTTTCCTCACTGTATATGTACATCGATTTTTAACAACAACGTTCATTATTCACATTTGTTGGAAGGACCGGATTCTTCCCTTTTCAAAGCAAGATGATCCACAAGCACATTTGTGAATACAAAGCTGTATAACTTGAGTTATTTATGGTTGCTATACACCTGTAAATGAAACATGGCAATGTCAAAGTGATTTACTTACATTATCCTCAATGCATGTACGCGCACACACACATAAAAGGAAGATATAGAAATTCAAAGTCTGCAGTGTGCAGTTTGTGCTTGTGTGTCTTCATGCTTCAGAGCAGTCTCTGAAAATGTGTCATCACGGAGTTTCGGTTTTCTTACGTTTTTCATTTTATTTTAAGATGCTTCATGACCTTTACTCAAGGCCTGATGCCTTGAGTAAAGGTCAACATGTCATCTGGAGACAGAAGAAAATTACAGTATAGGTACAGTAAGAACATCATTAACAGTAACAGAGAAAATAAATATTCTGTGACTGTGAAGAAGAAGAATAAAACTATGATAATTACTTTCCCATGATTTAATACAAAAAACACCAGGGGCCAGTTTAAAATAGGAAAATATGGGAGCACTACGGGATTATTTACCTTGCTCCATGTTTTGATTCTTTATCACCCTCAGTTACAGAGTATCCTATGTCATCTTTTGCCTCTTAATTTCCGTCTCTGAAAGAAAGTGAGTGTGTGAGGGGAAATTATTTTAATATAGATAGGGGGCTGTGGCTTAGAAAGGCACCATAAAAGTACAGACCATTTAGTGTACAGTACAGTACATATAATACCTCTGCTATATTTATAACTATGCAAAGACATATCTTTACATGACTTTCTTCACCAGGAGGCTAATTTAATTTTCCTTCTCCAGGGTCTTCTTCAAAGTGTCAACCTCTTTCTGATATTCCAAGAATTCCCTCTGAAGACAGTGGTTAGTCTCCTCCAGAGTCTCACAAAAAGCATGCGCTCATAACAATGGCCAATGATAGTAGCCTTGACATTTAGCTCTTCAGACAGTTTTTTTTTTTTTTTGAAGAAAGTAACCTCACTCTATGACTGTCAAAACTACTCAGTGGGTAAACAAAACAAAGAACATGTCTGATGGCCTCACTGAGGAGCAAATAGATTAAAAACTCCAAATCAAACAAGGTTGAGGTTTATCTCTGAAGAAGTCGCCACAACACACACCCATGATGGTGTCTACGTGTAACATGTAGTTCTGCAGAAATGTCTGCAGCCCATTCTGCCTCTTCTCAAGAAACTCTTCATCATAGTTGTCTTTGAACCTGCTCTTAGGAGGAAGGGATAGACCAAAGCTGGGAAACAGCTCTTTAAGTTGCAGCAAAGCCATGAACAAAAGGGTGAGAAAGCAGAAAATATGTATGGCGACAATATCATAGCAGTGAGAGTGTTAATGATTCATGATGCCAAAAGCACTCCTGCTGAGGTGTAGACAAACAGAATACAGATGAATGTGTGCTAATGTGTGCTGGACTAATGGAAGCAGCAGACTGTATAATCCTGCAGATCTGTCCTTGAACAAAGACATTTCAGACTATCTGTACAGTGAATAGTGTGTAGCCTATTAATTACACACATTTTCATTTTCTGGAGAAATTGCAGACCTATTAAATCCTTACCGTGAACTTTGCTCTCTCTTCAAGGATCTCAAAGCCCAGCAGTGTCTGGGTGATGGCGGGTCTCTCCACCTAGCTATCCCCAAGGCTCCTTTCACACTCCAGCAATGTGGATGACCCATCCACCATGCCTCTTCTGGGTCTAGTCCAGGAGTCATCTGGCATGGGCGCCCCAACTGCATCACCCCAGGATCCAACTCCCCTCAGCCAGGAAATATTTTCTGGAGGTGAAGGCTTGTGTCTCAAGGATGAAGAAGTATGTTTTGTACACACCCCCTTGGCCCAGGATCTGCATGCTCCAGTCCAATCCACTGGGAATGGGGGCAGCCATCTGTTGTGGTCCCGGTGAATAAATAGAGAGTTAATTCATATAAACTCTCTATTGCCATGCAAGCAGCAGTGATAACATAGTAACTGATATGTTGACAGCCTCTTCTTCCCAAGGCTTTCAGATTACAAGGGGACAATACAAACATGTGCTTCACTGTGTGTCCAGGCCCCCAAGGCAGGAAGAGCTCTGATAAAGCGCAAACAACAAATCTACAAAATGTCACAGTAAAAAATGTCAACCCTGTGAATATCCAAAAATAGGATGATGACTGGAAATATATTAAATCTTTTTATGATACATTTTTTAAATAGTGATACATAAGATAACAATAAGAAGACAACACAATAAGGTCATAAATAAAAATGAAAACAACTTTTTTATAGTGCACATTTCAGGGTACTCAAGGTCACTTTACATACAGAATACACAGCAGTAATCATATATTTAAAGAAGTTCTAATACAGGAGGTTGGCATCAGAGGAGCAGAGGCTGCAGAAAGGAGTGTGGTGGCGGAGGTAGGAGGGTTCCCGTCTTCAACGTCGGCCTCCAGAGGGAACTTGCCTTCATCACCTGCTTCCTGCCTGGCCTCCAGAGGGGACTCGTCTCCAGTCTCATTGCCGGCCTCCTGCCTGTGTCTAGTCGGCGGTCTAGCCGACTCCTGTCCCTGCTGAGCTGCAGCAACTTCCTGTCCCAGCTGAGCTTTAAATGACAGTTGCAACAATCACCTGAGCCAAAACTGCAACAGTCTCCATTCACAGAACTGCAGCAGCTTCCTGTCCTCGCTGATCTACAGCAGATTCTGACTCTGCTAAATTGCAGTTACTTCTTGTTTCCCCTGAAATGCAGCAGGGTCATTTTTCATAGGGTGCCATTTGGACTTCATAACTTGGGATAAATAAATAGTTGATCTACCTATATTTTAAAGTTCTATTATATAAAAGATATATCTAACTTCATGAAAACCATGAAAAAACAGGCACACATTATGAAAAGTGGAAGTGTTTTTCCACTTTTTTCTCAAGAAAAGTGAATTATGATAAGAATCATTCAACGTCTCTTGCCTGTATAGTCAATCCCTTTCATATTTTTTATGTAAATACAAATGTACACTTAATATGCGGTAATTTCAATAAACTATGAAGGAAAAATACCAACATACCAGGGTGGACAGAGGCCTAACAAGGTGGACAGCAGCATAACAGGGTGGACAAAACACCAGTATATAGCCTACTATATAAATGTAAAATACTACTATATAAATGCAAAAACTCACAGTACCTCTTGAACCAAAGCTTTTGTAATGTAAAAAAAAAAAACTACTTAGAAGCCAATCTCATTGTAATCATAATTAATAACAATTGACCTTACATGAAATGGAACTACTATTTTTATTTAGACAAAATACAACATTATTTGTACTGGGGACGCAGAAGGCACCACATAAAAAATTCTCCCAGCAGCAATCTCCTGACTCTGCCAGGTTACGGCAACCCCCTGACTTTGTTAAACTGCTGCCACACCCTGTCCCAGTTGAAATGCAGCAACCCCCACCAACAGAACTGTAACAGGCTTTTGCTCCTGGATTGCAAACAAGTGTGGCTCTCGTGCTGAGAAGCTCTGCTCTCACTGTTGGTTTTCTGGCCATCCTACAGGTCTGGTTCTGCATCTGCCTGAGGTCTCCAGTTCCTGCTTCGCACCTGTTCATATCTCAGGCTGTCCACCTGAGGTCTCCTGCTCTGCCCTGGTCGAGCACCTGGTTCCTAGTTTAGACACTGGCCACTGAGTCCTGCTCCCCAAACACTTGCCCTTGGGTTTTTGAGTTGTTTTAGTTCCTGTTTTTATTTTGAAATGATCCTTCCTGGTATGTCTTGTCTGAACTTTTACTTCCCGCATTCTCCTTAGTTTATTGTTGGCACCTGTCGTAAAGGATGTCTCAAATAAGTGAAACACTGAAGCAAACCTCACGAACTGGCATGGGATGTGCATGGCCCAGGACCGGAGGGCTCTGCAGCAGTGGATTAAAACTGCTGAGAAGATCATTGGTACCCATCTCCCGAACATCAGTGATATCTGTGAGGTGAGATGCCTCTTAAATGCAATGCCTAATAAAAGACCTGCACCATGTTGACTTAATATTAATTCCATATACATTAAGTAACATTAATATTCCCCAGTGGCTCATACAGAGAAGGAAATAAAAGCAGATTAGATCCAATAGCGCAATTTTTAGTGTCTAACTAGGTCACCCATGACTGATAGCCTATACAGGTGCTGGTCATATAATTAGAATATCATCAAAAAGTTGATTTATTTCAGTAATTCCATTCAAAAAGTGAAACTTGTATAATGTATACATTCATTCCACACAGACTGATATATTTCAAGTGTTCATTCCTTTTAATATTGATGATTATAACTGACAACTAATGAAAACCCCAAAATCAGTATCTAAAATTAGAATATTGTGAAAAGGTTCAATATTGAAGACACCTGGTGCCACACTCTAATCAGCTAATTAACTCAAAACACCTGCAAAGGCCTTTAAATGGTCTCTCAGTCTAGTTCTGTAGGCTACACAATCATGGGGAAGACTGCTGACTTGACAGCTGTCCTAAAGACGACCATTGACACCTTGCACATGGAGGGCAAGACACAAAAGGCCATTGCTGAAGAGGCTGGCTGTTCACAGAGCTCTGTGTCCAAGCACATTAATAGAGGGACGAAGGGAAGGAAAAGATGTGGTAGAAAAAAAGTGTACAAGCAATAGGGATAACTGCACCCTGGAGAGGATTGTGAAACAAAACCCATTCAAAAATGTGGGGGAGATTCACAAAGAGTGGACTGCAGCTGAAGTCAGTGCTTCAAGAACCACCACACACAGACGTATGCAGGACATGGGTTTCAGCTGTCGCATTCCTTGTGTCAAGCCACTCTTGAACAAGACATAGTCTACCAAGAAGTTTTAGAGCACTTCATGCTTCCTGCTGCTGACCAACGTTATGGAGATGCAAATTTCATTTTCCAACAGGACTTGGCACCTGCACACAGAGCCAAAGCTACCAGTACCTGGTTTAAGGACCATGGTATCCCTGTTCTTAATTGGCCAGCAAACTCGCCTGACCTTAACCCTATAGAAAATCTATGGGGTATTGTGAAGAGGAAGATGCGATACGCCAGACCCAACAATGCGGAAGAGCTGAAGGCCACTATCAGAGCAACCTGGGCTCTCATAACACCTGAGCAGTGCCACAGACTGATCGACTCCATGCCACGCCGCATTGCTGCAGTAATTCAGGCAAAAGGAGCCCCAACTAAGTACTGAGTGCTGTACATGCTCATACCTTTCCTTTTTTGTATTGGTCTTAAATAATAATCAAATTTTCAGCGATACTGAATTTGGGATTTTCATTAGTTGTCAGTTTTAATCATCACAATTAAATGAAATAAACATTTGAAATATATCAGTCTGTGTGTAATGAATGAATTTAATATCCAAGTTTAACTTTTTGAATGGAATTACTGAAATAAATCAACTTTTTGATGATATTCTATTTATATGACCAGGTAGCCTATCCTGAATTTTCTTTTCTCGTAATTACGAGATCTTTTCTTATTAGGAGATCCTGATCTCGTAATTATGACATCTTTTCTCATTACGAGATAAGGTGTTCTTTGGTGAATGCAATGTGCTTCCGTACACATCCCACCAACGTATATGTTGGAAACTCCCAGGTTTGGGGAATTCCCGCATTAAAACCCCCTGTATTAACAGTTGTGTTCAGGCTCTGATGAGGTCTTTTGTTCAACGAAACTGAAACAACAAATGTGAATTTGACGCCTAAACGATTCCGTTATTCAAACAACCTATAAACATCCCATCCTCACATTTGGGACTTGCCTCCATGTGTAATTCATCTCTGATAAGTAAGACCAATTTATGAAAGCTGTATGTGCTCAGGGTTGTTTGGATCAATCAGCCCCACAATAAAGACAACATTCAGATAAACTGTCCGATACTCTCGAAACCTTTTGGGCTTGAACGCATCTCGTAAAAACCCGGAAGAGTGTCGTCATTAGCAATAACAAACTCACCTGCCTTAAATGACAGCGGTGCTCAGCAGCTCGCTGTTGTCCCTCGTTGACTCCGCCTTTGACAGCTAGTTAGAGGCAGTCTGGCACCATATGATGAGAAAACAGGCGCATGAAAGCGCACAAGTTAGATTTAACTCTTGTCGTTGGGTGCACCACGGCGTTTGAAACATTTTTCGGTTTCTCTTTTCTCTGCCGTCCCTCCTCCTCCGCCACATCAACGTTAGCTCAGTTTGCTAGCAGTCAGCGACATTAATGGCATGAGCGCGCTTCCTCATTGCGTTTACCAAAGGGCAGTTCTGCTTTCACTGGTGCATGATAAATCCTCAGACTTCCCGTAACAGGCTCACAAACTGCTATGGAGCCGTCCGCGGCTATGGGCTGTATGAACATTGGCAGTCTGACCAGCACCTTGCCGGTGATCCCCTACCAGAAGCTGACAGACCTGTACTACCTGAGCAGAGGGGGCTTCGGAACCGTGTTCAAGGCGCAGCACTCCGACTGGAGGACCACTGTGGCCATCAAGTGCCTGAAACTTGACTGTCCTGTTGGAGAAAGGTACCCTGTTGTCTTTGTGACCACCTCATCTAACAAATTAGTCCATATACACCGAATTTTACCTACTGTGCACTCTGTGACGGCTGTCTGAGGTGTCCGTTTTAATCAAATGTAAGACTTGCAGGTACATTTGAATCAGATGTATGTGTAGTGTCTCAGGTGTTGTGTTCTGTTGAGCGGCTGCAGGGGTTTTCTGTGGATGACATAAACGCACATGCATGCCTAACATAACAATAAGAACAACATTCTTGATACTGATTCATTTAAATTTGTTTGATAAAGAATTGTGACCATGTGCTGATTCTACTTAATTGTCCATAAGCTAATATCAGCTAATATATTGGCATGGCAGATTAATCAGTCAGGCTCGATTAGGTGCGGTTGTTGTGCCCCAGGAGTTGTTGCTTTCTGTTTGGACCAGGTTTGTCTCTATATGCCACACCATCACTCTGGCTTCCTGCTGAGAAACATACTTATATCCGCACATTTAAATCTGAGCTGTACAAATTCAGTTCTTAAATACAGTATAAACTGTCCCTTTTACTCCCATGTGTAATGATGCGATGACAGTAAGGGGTGGACTTTAACTCAGTATTATCATGTATTGGATTTCAGCTACATCATATTGTGTTGATGTGATTCATTAATATTGCCATTCTACAAATTTCTAATAATTATAAGAAGAAGCGTTGTAAAATATTTAGCTCATGCTGTTATCCAAAGCGACTTACAATTGCTATATGTGTCAGAGGTCAGGAGCAACTAGGAGTTAAGTGTCTTGCTCGGGGACACATTGGTGTTTTGTCTGACTCATATAAAGAATATAACCTCATGTGACAGTGGGACAGTCCTTTGAACAGTTTCAGTTTGATCACTGTACACATGGTTTGGCATATATTTGTCATATCATGATATTTGTCAATAGCTTAAAGTGTCTAAATTAATATTGTGATAATACTTTCCATACCGTACCATATTGCCAAGTTGTTTTGGCCTTTCTGTCACTTTGTCTGAGAGTGAAGACTGACTGCGTATCACCGGCTGTGTTTCAGAGAGAGGAACTGCCTGCTGAAGGAGGCAGAGGTGCTCCACAAAGCCAGGTTCAACTACATCATCCAGATCTTTGGCATATGCAACGAGCCCGAGTTCTTCTGCATAGTCACAGAGTTCATGAGCAATGGCTCCCTGGACCTGTTGCTCCATGAGGTAACTATATGTCATCAAGCAACTTCATAATGCTAACAGCTGTAACTAAACAGAAACAAAATGTGGTTTCATTTGACTTGCAGTGTTGAACCATATAAAAGGATTTCTAGGAAGTTTCTGTTTCATATTCAATGAAATGACCCAGTCTCAAATGTAGAGAACATCTTAAATGCTCTACAGTTCTTGTTTTTCAACTTCTGTTGCCACAGTATCTGAAGGGTAACAGTCTCTTTGTTCTTCATGGCAAACCGCCTTATTTCTACCTCCTTCTCTTTTATGCATCACTCATCATGTACTGTATACTGCGGGAAACCTGCTTGTGATGCAAAAGTGAAACTTGGATGTATTCACAGTGTGATGAAACTTTCAGACAAGCAGAAGGGAGAGACGCTAAGCTGTAAGGAAAGCAGACAAATATAGTTAGGGGAAATTCCCACTTGTCATGTTGTAAATATTAAGTTTTGTAGTTTAAATGCAGTATGATATGTCCTATCTCTCTACACTTCCCTAAACACACGCTTGATTGAGACTTTTATATCTGCTCTGTCATATCCGCTCACAGAAAGACTTGTACCCTGGGCTTGCCTGGCCTTTGCGACTGAGGATTCTGTACGAGATTGCCCTGGGGGTTAACTTTCTTCACAACATGAATCCCCCCCTCCTACATCATGACCTAAAGACACAGAACATACTGCTGGATGGGGAGTTTCATGTTAAGGTACCTGTGCAGTTTGGTACAGTATGTACTGCATGTGTGACAAAAGGAAACAAACGTTTGAGCACGAGCTTCAGTGACTGTGGTTGTCTACTGTAAGTATATCTATAATACCCTAAACAGCTGGGCCTTTCATACTGTCAAAAACAGGGAGTTGATGACTTTAATTTAAATATAAGCCTTGTTTCATGTCACGCTGCCTGGCAGTGTGCGAATATTGTCTGTTGTGCTAGTAATTGTTGGTGCTATGGTTGATATTACTGACACTGTTGAATTACCTACTACGCTGTAGCGAAAGTGTGGTCATTAATAATGAAGAATAAGTGGCGGCCTGAAGGTTAGAGAAGCGAGCGGGAGGTCGCAGGTTCAATCCCTGGACCGGCAGGATAAAATCTGGGTGCTTACCCTCTCTCATTTACCACCTCTGAGGTGCACATGATTGAGGCCCATAACCCCAGCAGACCAGGCTGCGGTTGTACTGGGCAGCTACCAGGTGTGAATGTGTAACTGTCAAAAAATGCCCATTATAAGGGGTGAATGTGTAACAGTGTGATTGTTTTTTTTTTTGTTTGTTTTTTTGTTTGTTTGTTTTTTTATTTATTTATTTATTTTTTTTATATTAACAGTGTGATTGTGATCACCTGCAAATGAGAGGTTACACTCAGTGAAGCTCTCTGAATAAATAAATGTTTAAAAAAATAAATAAGATTTTCAAATATGAGGATTTGTTGCTTTATATTGTCATATATGATAGTAAACTGGATATCACAGGCATTTGCGTTGTTGGTCTGATAAAATCAGAAGTCTGAAGATGTCAGCTCAGGCTCTGGAAAATTATAATGGACAATTTGACAGTTTTTAGAGAACATGTAGAGAAAATGATCAGCATTATAATGATAATTGTTAATTGCAGCCCTAATTATTATTTCTTTAATAACCAGTCCACACTTTACCTTGTAGAAAAAGTGCTGCTTCAAAAGCATGTTGTGCTACTAAAGAGCTGCCACTTAAACAGGACAATTCTGCCCCATCATATCTAATGTTCAGTTGTCTTTAGTTGATAAAAGAAAAAAGCTATATATAACATAAAAAGACAATGTTAAATATATGTCTAGAATTCTTGAATAAAGTTCTGCTGTTGTTCTGTCCAGATCGCAGACTTTGGCCTTTCGAAGTGGCGGCAGCTGTCTGTCAGTAAAGGCTCAGGGTCCAAGCCCACAGAGATGGGGGGCACAGTGATCTACATGCCCCCTGAGAAGTATGAGCCATCCAAGAGCCGTCGGGCTGATGTGAAGCACGATATGTACAGGTAAGTCACCAAATCCCAATAACTAGTTATTACAATATAACGATACAATAAGAGCGTTGTCTATTATTCTGGATATGGTTTTAGTATCCATTACAGGATCCATTACATAAGAATAAATATATGTCGAGGACAGTCAGCAGCTGAATGACTTTCTGACTGGCAAGGTGAGACAATGCGCCAGCATGGGGTTGGATTGTTAGCATACCAGAGCAGAATATGACAGTCATTTGTGCCAAAGGCTAAATCTGTCAATTGTGCCAGACAAATGGTCGGATGTCAGGAGTGGGGGACTATTACAAAAGAAGTACAAAGTACAAGAAATACACTTTACTCTGTGGCAAAATATGAATCTCTTCTGGATTGTGGTTGATTCAGTATATTAAGCTTTTGTGTAATAGGTTTGGATTGCTGCAACAGTCATTGCTCTTCCTCAAAGCAGCCCCTCTGGTTGCCTTGTCGTAAAGTCCCTCAGCTCTAAAGGGGAATGCCACTCGAAAAGAATTATGTAACTCTAATTTCCCTTAACTGGTTCTCTCCGTGATGTTTACATTGTAGCTACGCCATCATTATGTGGGAAGTGCTGTCCAGGCAAATTCCATTTGAAGGTAACTCACTATTTATTATGTGGCACTCCTGTTTTTTGTTTTTTATATATAAGTTTGATGTGTCACTCTCGTTCTGTTCAGTTGCTCTTTGAGTTAATCACTGATCTGTGTGTGTTTGTGTCAGAGGTGACCAACCCCATGCAAATCATGTTCAGTGTACTCCGTGGGATGCGTCCTGACACAAGTCTGAGCAGTCTGCCTGCTGGCATCCCCAGCAGAGAAACCCTCATCAGTTTAATGACCTGCGGCTGGACTGCTAACCCTGATGAACGACCTTCCTTCCTCAGTAAGTGCACACAAAGAGCTGAAGTGTAGGCAGAAGAGTATAAATTCTGGCAGAGGATTGCACTCTGGTGTACCAGTTTGACCTTTTTTCACTGTCTTCATGTTGAGTAACAGGCATCCTGACAGAGCAGTGACTAAGTATCAGCTTCCTGTCACATTACTGAACCTTTCTCTGCTGACCTCACTGAAACTGTATACTGGTGAAGCTGGGCTGAAAACTAGTATCTTCATATTTAAAATGAATAAAATGGCCCTATAAATGTTTTTTTTTGTTTTTTTTAATTAGAACCAATAATTGAGACTCACCGGCCATTGATAAGTGCTGTCAGATTGATAAACAGCCAGTGAAAACATTCTGTCATTTAAAACCATTAAGCATTTTTGTGGCCTAGACAAAAAAATATAAATTCAGAATTAAAATAATATGGTTCTGTCCAGGTAGCTGCTGTCCACAT